GGAGATAATGCTAAACAGAAGCTTAGGGGGGAAAAAAAAAAAACAAACCACCCACTTTTATAGTTACCTGACCTTGGTAGGACATCCCTGCTGCCCAACAGCAGGAGGAAACCTGTGTTGTTGTGGGACTGTAGGTATATAGGGATTACTCTGTCCTTGGATTGTCTTAGCTCTGGTTGGAGGCTTAAAACATCTTTGACTTCCGAAAACTTTATTTGGGTTTTTCCTTCTCTGATGCCTTCGGGTTCAAAGAGCATCTAATACCATTTTGTGCATCCTGTATTCCCACAACTCTTTTGTAGAAGTAAGCGGCTACTCTGTCCCTTTGCCCCTGTTTGTCAAGCTTGAAGACCCCTGCCTTATCCTCTCACCCCTGCCAGTTTCTGGAACTATTTGCTTTTGGGGTGTCCTTCTGGGTTTACTTTTGTCATTGTCCTAGACCCTTTTGCCCTTTGTTCCACAGAGTTCTGCTCACAAGTCACTCTATTTCCCCCCCCCCCCCCCCTTTTTTTTTTTTCAGTTATTATTTCATTTGTTTCTGTGGCCACTTTTCCCATCTCTCTCCTCATTCCAGGACCAGCTTCACGCTTCCTGAGCTTTTATAATCCTCTTTTCCAGTCCAAGTCTGTTCCAAAGACTTGTCCTTTCCTTCCGATTAACTTCTTCCAAAACTGTGTAAACATTTTCTTACAACACCTCAACACTGTCGCTCATGTCATCTTCAATTTAAAACAATAAAGCTTAAGTTCTCGCTCTCCGCGGTGAACTTCTTCGTGAAGGGATTCGTTTTTGTTGGCTCATACAGGAAGGAGCATCATGTTGGCACCTAAGGAGTGTTGTGCAGGCTCTGCGTGTGAATCGATGGCATAGCAACCTCAGGGGTGTCTGGTTTGCTGGAGGAAAGCAGCTGATGACTCAGTTCGGCAGATGTCAGTAAAAAGTCAGAGCCGACTCACCTGCTTAAAGCTGCAGAGAGCAAAATCAGGGTAGGGGTTTGGTTGGGATGTCAGGAGTAATTGCGTAACTTCAGGAGAAATTGGTTGTTCAGTTAAGGGAATTATTGAAATGTCTTATAGCAAATATTTAAATTTTTTTTTTTTTTGTAAATTCTGTCTACATAGTTGGAGGTTTTCAGCCAAAATTAGTTTCAAAGCTGTCACAAAAGATAAACTCAGTAAATGACCTTTAATTTAAGTGGTGGCTCTAGTTATATTCTCCTCCCTCCCACAAAAAGAATACCCCTAGAGAAACTCGG